TTTTTAAATATAAAAATACACTTAGAATAAAATTACACACGTATATATAAATAAATTTAAAATAAACTGTTTAAAAATTTGAATTTAAAAAAATTATATGTAATTTTATTCTATTAATATATTTTGATATCAAAATATACACACACACACATATATATATATATATATATATTTAATTTAATTTAATTCTATGTATATCTCGTACTGAGTACTTATTTCACTCATTGATATGCAAATCAATTTATAACTTTTTTGACACACGTTTTTCTGGATTATTTTTATTTTGTCTCTCACTGTTAAATTGCACCTATAAAATTATAGTCTGATCATTTCTTTGTCAGTGGGCAAACATTCAAAATCAGAAGGGGATCAAATACTTTTTTACCTCACTGTATGTAATATACATGTTCAGCCATATAATAAATTGTCTAAACGAATTGGTTAGTTCAAAAAATGGGTCGCAAGAGTATTCTGAGGACGGACAGCAGCTAAAATAGCCTGCCCTTCGGTGGGTCCCCGCTCAGAACTCAAGCTGGTTTTAGCTCAACTTGTGCCATTACAGAGAGAACATATCTGAAGCATATCAGACTGGTCCCACCCATACAGGCAGTCCAGATCCAAAATGCCAGCAAGTTCTCTCTGCACGAGAGATACAGCAACCCCAGACGATCGTTTCAGCCTTGTTAGGCATCGTCAGTGAGGCATAGCTGATATCTCTCTAGGCACCGTGAGCAAGGGGTCCACGTCTGGATTACCCTTTAGACTAATGGAGAGCAAAAAATGGGGCATTTCGGGTCTGGACTGCCCGTATGGGTGGGACCAGTCTGATATGCTTCAGATATGTTCTCTCTGTAATGGCACAAGTTGAGCTAAAACCAGCATGAGTTCTGAGCGGGGACCCACCGAAGGGCAGGCTATTTTAGCTGCTGTCCGTTCTCAGAATACTCTTGCGACCCATTGTTTGCTCTCCATTAGTCTAAAGGGTAATCCAGACGTGGACCCCTTGCTCACGGTGCCTAGAGAGATATCAGCTATGCCTCACTGACGATGCCTAACAAGGCTGAAACGATCGTCTGGGGTTGCTGTATCTCTCGTGCAGAGAGAACTTGCTGGCATTTCGGGTCTGGACTGCCCGTATGGGTGGGACCAGTCTGATATGCTTCAGATATGTTCTCTCTGTAATAGCACAAGTTGAGCTAAAACCAGCATGTAACGGAGTCTTACCTGATAGAGAGTCCAGCTCGCAGAGTTATACGCTCACCCTTGCAAAGTAGACACAGACCAGGGTGACCAGGTAAGACGCCACCTGGCCTGTGAGTCTGTGCACGGGGGCTTTCCAGGAAAGGTGCTCCAAGACTCAGTACAGCAGGGATAAGCAGAAGCGTGGTCAAGGGAAGCCAAAATCAGGGAAGCCAGAGGTCAGAGTAGTCCAGGAGGAAAGCCAAGGTCAGAAGCCGGAATAGACAAGAATCACTGGAACGCAGGTACAGAGTAACAGGAACCAAACAAGAGAACCAGAGTCAATGAACTGACACCCCTCCCAGGGTGAGGCAGGCTTTTATATCCTGTTAATTAGGATCAGATTCAGCTGGAGAGTTACTGACAGATCAGAGCCTTTGGTGAAGTCCAGCCCCCTGGTGCTGCAGGCAATACAAGAATAAACAGGGAGTTATCCAAAGTCCTGAAATGGCTCAGAGGAAGAACAGCAGGATATGGTCCAGAAGAACCACAGTTCAAATCCCCTATCGGGCGCTTCCAGAGCGACCACGTCTGGCATACTGGATGTCACGGCGTGGACCGTGACACAGCATGAGTTCTGAGCGGGGACCCACCGAAGGGCAGGCTATTTTAGCTGCTGTCCGTTCTCAGAATACTCTTGCGACCCATTGTTTGCTCACAATTGGTTAGTTCGATTCAATCAAGCCAGCACTAGAACTGGCACAGAGCCTAACCCTTAACCCCTTCCCGACCTCAGATGTGAAGGGTACATCTGACAAAAAAAAATGGCAGTTAATGATTGCAGGCGTTTCTTGCATGTCCGCGGCAAAAATGACCCGCGGCTATCCCGGTCGTGGGGAGGGGGGACGGGGGGGAACTGCCAGAGACCCCAGCTGTCCCCCTGCAGCAGCTTCGGCCACCCCGGCCCTCCAGGGCCATGTAATCACCATGACCACATCGCCGCAATAGGATTCTAGGAGCTGCCAGCAGGGGGATTGTTTGAGCCATCAGGCAGTCCCCCAGGCTGCTAAAATTTAAAATAAAATAAATATGTTATACATATATTATATATTACAAAATAATTAAAGCATTTTATAATATATTATACATTTATAATTTCATTATAAGTGTACTTTGAGATATATACACATCTCAAAATACAATTATAAAATGCTTTAATTATAATATACATATATAGGAAAAACAAAATAAAAACGCAAACTGGCTAGCATTTGTGACTAAGTGGCTACTACAAAAGACTGGACATACCCCATTTTCAATACCCCGGGTTGTCTATTTTTACAAATGGTATGCCATGATTTCATTCCTGGGCTGCTATAAACAGTCTCAAAAGCAAACCAATCTGGCAAATTTTGAAATGTGCAAACATGTAAGAAGGAAAAGCCCAAAATTTAACCCCTGTAAGTTTGTAAAAACCAATAAAACCTGTACATTGCGGGCACTGTTGTACTCAGGAGATGTTGCTGAACACATATTGGGGTGTTCTTTGTCAGTAACACATAACAGGAACTGAGAATCCATGCCTAAAGTACAATGTGAGAAAAAAAAAAAAAAACGACTACCCAAAAGTTTGACAAAGACTGGTAGTAGTATTAGTGCATGGAAAGTGTAAAATACCACCATTTGAAATACCCTAGGGTATCTACTTTTCAAAAATATATGGTTTGATGGGGTAAATTTAATTGTCCGGCTTAAAAAATGTCCCAAATAGGACATGGGTGCATGATGACCAGCTGTGAAAATTCCAAGTTGGAAAACTGGAATGCGCACCCTCCAAATCAGGTCTTTTTGCCTCCAGAGGACCCAACAGACCTGTAAATGGGTGGTATCAGTGTACTCAGGAGAGGTTGCTGAACACATATTGAGATGTTCTTTGGCAGTAACCCTTAAGGTCCTCCATACATGTATTCTTAAATTGCTATATGTGTAAAAAATAAAATAAAATTTAAAAAAAAAAAAAAAAAAAAAAATCACCAATTATTAGATTTTTATTTGCCATAGATTGTTGGTAAAATGGTTGCATGAAGAGAGTCAAAATACCCAAAGTTTAATACCTTAGGTTGTCTTTTAAAAAAATATATACATGTGAAGGGTTATTCAGGAGTTCCTGACATATCAATGTTACAATGTAACTTGCGTTAATTTTGAAAAAAAAAATGGTTTGGAAATAGCAACGTGCTACTTGTACTAATTGCCCTAAAACCTTCCAAAAAAAAAAAAGCTAGGAACATGTTAACATTGGGTATTTCTAAATTTAGGACAACATTTTGAAACTATTTAGCACAGGTGTTTTTGGGCAGTTGTAGATGTGTAAGATTTTGGGGGTCAAAGTTCAAAAAAAGTGTGTTTTTAAAAAATAATTTTTTTTCATCATATTTTATCTTTTTTTATAGTAAATTAGATGATTAAAATAATGTTATCTTTAGAAAGACCATTTAATGGCAAGAAAAACTGTATGTGTGGCTACAGTAACCAAGTAAGAGGAAAATTATAGCTAAACACAAACATCGCAGAAATGTAAAAGCAGTTCTGGTCCAAACAGTAAGAAAATTGAAAAGTGGTCTGGTCACTAAGGGGTTAAGGTGTTAAACTGTTTGAGCAGTTATAATATCCAAGATTCTCACGAAGCCCATCAGCATTCTTTTTCCCCTTTTAATGCTCAGTCACAATACTGAGCAAAGAATGGAAGTACTGGTAAGCATGGGGCAACAGTAATTTAACTATATGCAAAAACCATTCCATTAATATACAGTTGTTAGGTACTTAGTCCCTTTACACCAGCTTCAATGACCCACAACTACTTCTTTATTTGCCCTCCTTGGTTTCGGTTATGTTTAGTTTTATTTTTTTGACTAATGCATCAATAAGACGAGCTGTCCTGTGTGTAAGCAACCAAATACGCTCAGTAATGTGCGCAGTCTGGCCAAATGAAAGGTATTGTCCTGCTTAAGTTGGTGATGTCATTCAACTTCACTAACAATAACTGTGTACATTGTACCAGATTGTATGTGCTTAGCTTCTCAATATTTGCCTATTGTTGTAACATTTGCTGACACATTATTGTACTGTATTCAATTGCACCCTTACTTTGCCTACCTAACTTGAAACAACAAAACCACCACAAATTTGTTTTTATTTTTAAAGTGTCCCTTTAAACAACATTACAGTGAGGCTACTACTTCTACAGACTTGTGAACACACTATTTTCAGCTGGTACAAACAAATCAAATTCCCTTTAATCTATGCCTGAACAAACTGATCTACCTGGGGATTTACCTGTGGAGTGCTTAAGATGAAACGAGTAAATCAAATATATGGATCAAATCGTTCGAGGGTAGATTGAAAGGCATTTGATTCAGTCGTACCATCTGAAAAGAATGTGTGCCCAAGTCTAGGACTTCCTATGTATTGAGCACACCTGTAATTTTTAGGTCTTGTCAACATTAAAAATGACACTAAGGCACCAAAAACATTCAATGTATTAATGTTATGTTTTCAAACAAAATGTGCACTAGAATTAGATCTTCTTGACACTCATGTCCATTTCATGCAAGCTGAGAAATTGAAACATTTTCCAAGTGATCAAGTCTTTTGTGAATGCCAAACTTTGTTGCAATTACTAATCCATAGAGGTTTGTTAAATACAAAATGACTCACATGATGTAATTCCTTACTCCATACAAGGGTAAAACACCAAATAAAACAGCATATACAAAATGTAGATTGACGTGTCAGTACAAAATCAGTAAGACGCTTCAAAATTCACTTGTCCCAAAATAGTTTATTGATAACAGGAAGTACAAAATAAATGTGGAAACCTAACACCATTTGTGCCACTTAATTAACATAATAATAGCTTAGATAAATATGTATTTTTCCAGTGCAATGAACTTTTTCGATACGGCCTCAGATTTATCCTTATTCTGGACGCTTCTCCTCTGCAGGTGGCTCATGCTGTGCAAGCTGTAGGATCAGAGAGAATACATATATAGCAAGTTTCCAAACAGAACTAAAATATTCTTAACTATTAAATTGTGGGCCTGAGAAAGAAATTTTTTTTTTGCAATGAACAAACACTAGTGAAAAAATGGTTTTCAATTTTATTTTTTTAGCATTCTGAAACTGAAGTGTTTTTCATTGAGATCTACCTCCAAACGAATTAGTTCCCCTGCTCATCAAGGGCAAACACACAAACCTATTCAGAAAAACCACAATCATAATATTCCAAAACTAACCTTTGCTTTAAGTGTTTTGTTCTCTTCTAACACAGCTTCATATTTCTGCTTCAATTCTGCTACCTCCAAGCGGAGGGCCTCAACATCAGGCGATTCAGGACCTGCAGCACCCATGTGTTGTTTTAGGAAGCTGCATATAAAAGTTAAGTGCATCCAACTCTGCCATCGGAAGATCTGGGCAGGATACAAATCTATCAACAAACTTACAGATTTCCTTTTCCCAAAGCAAAAGGAAAAAGTGAACAAATTCCATTGTTGCTTAATTTATGCAAATTACAAACAATTACAAATAAAGAAAGGATACTCCAATGCATTGTTTGGCTTTTCTGGCTCTTCATAAAGTGCCACTAATACTGAAAAACAAAAGTGGGTGGGAAATAAAAAAATAAAAAAAATCCCTTACAATATACAGGATATGTAGCTAAAATTGTCATCTATTAACACTTTTTCTTGTCTTTTATGAATAATCAATACATTTACATATCATAGTATAGCTTAAAGTAGCACTGTCAAGCTGATTTGCATCATGGACCAGTAGGGAAAAAGGTAAAATATGCTTACATGAAGCCCTTCCTCTCTGAGATCCCTATCTTTAGTTACTGGCATAGGATGTTATTTTAAGTCACGTCAACTCTCACCCATGCGTATAATAATAATAATAATAATAATAATAATAATAATAATAATAATAATAATAATAAAGGCTTTTTTCCCCCCATTAGCAATTTCGAGTGATAGCTGATTGGAAGAATCAAGGCAAGACAAGTAGAACTGCATTGGAGCTTTGTTTATCGCCATAATCAAATGTTTGACTAAGGAAAAATATTACTCAATTAGTTTTCTCTATATTTTTTTCATTACATAATGGGTATTAGCGGATAGTGTGTGTACAATTGTATGTGAGATCAGTGTTCACAGGCATTGTAAGATAAACGTCTCAATTTAAAATTCTGGTTCTTACTTACAAATGTCTACATAACACTGCTCCTACCTATCCTACCTAGTTCACAAATATGTCCACGTCCGAAGCCCCTACGCAGTGTAGAGGACCTGCATCTATCCTCTGTTCATACTCACATCTCTGACGCTTACCTTCAAGACTTGTCCAGAGCTGCACTAATCCTCTGGAACGCCCTTCCCTGCTCAGTTAGACTCTAACAGAGTCTCCGACTTCAAAAAAGTTAATTGAATATTCACTTCTTCAGGAAAGCATATAAATTTAACTGTTAACAGCTTTCCTTCCCTGGTAACCCACCTTTTGCTTCTTCTGCAACTATCTTAAAAAAAAAAAAAAAAAAAAAATAGCCCTTCATTGTAATTTATTCTAGCAGCTTACTTTTCCCATGCTTGGAATATATCCTACCCTTACCTCTTGTGTCACGTCACCCCACTCCCTCTAGAATGTAAGCTTGTTTAAGCAGGACCCTCAACACCCTCGATTCCTGTCCGTAAAGTCGACTTGTTACAAATATTTGTCTGTTCATCCACCCATTGTACAGCGCTGCAGAATTTGTTGGCGCTTTACAAATAATTACAGCATTAAGTGCAAATATTAAATGACAATAATACCCCACATGCACCAAGTAGCGTGTGCACTGATACTTCAGCAGTAACTTACAGAAAACTGCAGAACAACTAATAAACCATAAAACCAAAATGAAAATAGTTAGAGGGAAAAAAATTCAGATGTTGCTACATGTACTCATTACAGACCACACGAACAGTGAAACAGGTTAAAGAGTTAGTATCATTGGCACTGTTAAGGTATTCTATGGCAGAGAAACAAATACAATTGACAAATGTCCCTGCAGTCTCACTGCTTAATTCTCTGACATTTAGGAGTTAAATCACTTTTGTTTCTATTTATGCAGCACTAGCCACACCTCCCCGCTGTGACTCATATAGCCTGTATGAGAACTAAATAGTTTAAACTTTAATCAGATTTAACTTACCGTACTTTAAAAGTTTTTTATCTGGAGATAAAAATTGCTAAACAGAATTTGCAATAAAAGGAAGTATAAACATTAGATGACTCTTTACAGGAAGTGTTTACTAGGTAAACAAAGTGATTTAACTCCTAAATGGCAGATAATTGAGTAGGAGAAGATAGACCGGCCGCACAGCCTAGATCTGTGGAACTGTTTTGGGCATGAAAGCCATGCTTTCAGTCAGTGAAATGTGACTTCCATAAAACTTTTTAACCCCTGCTCTGATCTGGGTGATTTTTGGATTTGTTGTTCACCCAGATCAGCGCTATCCAGGAATTTATAATTTGTGGGGATATGTGGTGTTTTGGGGTGTTTTCTGCCTGTGAGTAATAAGTTAGCCCATTGTGTTTGTTAATTGTATCACAGGCAGAGGGAAGGGCTAGTGTACATTAGCTAGGAGTGTCTAACTGTACAAGCCTGTCCTGATTGGTTTTGTAACTTTGTATCCTGTGTTCCACAAGGTCCACGTGGGTGGTAACCTTGTGGGAAAACCTGTACATAAGAGACAAACCCTCAGACTGCTGAGTTCCTGTTTTACCCTCAACTGAGGATTTCTATATGCTGTATAGTCCCCTGGCTATAATCACTAAGCTCTTTTAAGAGCTTTTTCCTGCTTCGCTCTCTGAAGGAGACGGTGAGACCCCAACCAAGCTGCGGCGGTTCGTGTGGTCTGTAGTGCTTATGGTGTCAAGTGGAGTGCTTTGAGTACTCGGGAAGCGCTAGGAGCATCGTTCAACGGAGGTACCCAGTTGGGGTGCCAGGTGATCCGTTACATGTAAACACTGCATTTTCTCTGAAAAGACAGTATTTACAGCAAAAAGCCTGAAGGGAATGATTCTACTCACCAGAACATATGCAATAAGCTGTAATTGTTCTGGTGACTACAGTGTCCCTTTAATTTTGTACACTTGTGACATTGGGTCTAACTGAAACACTTGTATTCAATAGTTAAGAGATACATCACAATAATTTTGTCCATATAGTTTGGATTAGGGCTCAAAGAATATTTTGTTTTGTAGCTGTCCCATGGTTGACCTGTATTTTTGTATCATGGGTATGGCCAAAGCAAGTTTAGGCAAGAAACCAGTCGGAAGGCAGTTGGTATGATAATAGAAGTACAAAGGTGCTGTTTCACAGAAATAGGGCAAACCAGAGCTACAGAAACCAAATACTTATCATGCTTCGTCTGAGAGCATCACCTCAACCAATGAATGACACTTTGTGCATAGAATTCTATAACTCTTATTCAAGGCTGGCTAATGACACCACAGAATGTGGAGTTACATCCCTGGTGGCATCAATAAATATCTTTGTATGTGAAGCTTTTCATACTGAAATACTACACATACAGAGTTCTTAGAATAACTCTTTAAAAGGAACACTATAGGCACCCAGATATCTCATTCATCTCATTGAAGTGGTCTGTGTGCCATGTCCCTGTCCTACAATGTAAAACATTGACTACAATGTAAAACATAAGACTGCCTCCAGTGGCCACTAGCGTCACTTCCGGGATTCTAACTCACTCTTAGTACCTTAAACAATGAGGCAATGCTTTTCTATAGGGAGGGCTTTATGCGCCTCCCAAGCATCTGCATTAGGCCACCCCATCGGATGACGTCAGTCGAGGCAGAGCCGCAACACAGTGCCGAGGGACATCAGTGCTGGAATTGGCTAAGTGACTAAAAGTATTATTATTTTTTTTAAAACCTTTATATGCCCGAGGGGGGCTGTGACCAAAGGGCACTATAGTGTTAGGAATACAGATTTGTATTACTAACACTATAGATTCCATTTAAACACACATTTTAATATGTGAAGCACTTCCTGTGAGACATGCATATTCAGTAATGAAGAGATATAAAAAGTACCTTTTGTAAGCGTATCAAGTACTCCGGCCTTCTCCAGATATCTTCTAAATTGTTCGCGTTTAGAGTCTGCAGCCTGGAACAAAAACACAATATTTGCATCTTATTGAAATCCCTAAACAACCAATAGATATATAGGAGGGAGGGTGGGCTATGTTGTCTTAAGGGCAACATGATTTTTGTCACAAAGTGGCAATGAGCGGAGCTTCCATTGCCATTTCACATGATGGCTGAAGCAAAGAGATATCTATAACTATATATAGTTATGCTGGAAGCAGCTTAAATCATAATGGTCATATGCAGAATTTTTTTTTTTTTTTTTTAATCCAGACAGATTTTATTTTACAATTTGCACTGTGGGTCTGGCTTGCCTGGCATAGCCGAGAATACCATACAATTAAATCGAACCAGATGATTTCATGCATGTGAGCTCTCAGATCTTTTGCAGGAATTGTTTCCCAGCAGTTGCCCAGTAAAATAAAGGTTTTACATACAGCACCAAGACTCAAGAGGCATTACATCCCATGTGGTTAACAAAAAGGAGAGCACAAACATAATATTTTTTATTTTAAAGCAGTGAATTCAATGCATTCCTATGAACAGCATTTGGCCACATGACATGGGGTGTGTTTGACCCTTTTACATAGCAGGTTAAAAACTACAGGGCCACTGCACTCAGACCACTTCAATGAGATTACCGGTAAGTGGTTTGGTTACTTTAGTGGTCCTATAAGTGTAATAAACAACAACAACAAAACAACAACCTAGGAACAGCGAAACACACTAACTTTTCCTTTCAATATTCCAACTCAACATACAGATGACCCCTTCAAAGAGCTTTGGGTTTTACGAAGCATTAACTATGAATATGCATCTCCTAGCAATGTATTAACCCCTTAAGGACAAATGACTGAAATATTCTGTCACAATTCCCTTTTATTTCAGAAGTTGTGTCCTTAAGGGGTTAAAGGTTGGACACTATATTGCACTGTTGGATATGGAAATACTAAGAACACAATACCACTTGACCCATTCTTAATTGGAGCAGCTGGGAGCAACCTGCTCTGTGATAACTTTGCATATATAGGACAAGATGAGTAAACCTGAGCAACCTTTTGCTTGTAGTGGGTCCAATGAACCATGATATTAAATAATTTTCCCCATCCCACAGCAGAATTAACAGTCATGCAAAAAAAAAAAAAAAAACTCCCCTAGAGTATAAATTAAAGGACCACTCTAGGCACCCAGACCATTTCAGCTTAATGAAGTGGTCTGGGTGCCAGATCCAGCTAGGGTTAACCCATTTTTTTTTTATAAACATAGCAGTTTCAGAGAAACTGCTATGTTTATAAATAGGTTAATCCAGCCTCCAAATCCTCTAGTGGCTGTCTCATTGACAGCCGCTAGAGGCGCTTGCATGCTTCTCACTGTGAAAATCACAATGAGAACACGCAAGCATCCATAGGAAAGCATTATAAATGCTTTCCTATGAAACCGGCTGATTGCGTGCGCTCAGCCGAATGGGAGGAAAGGAGGCGGAGAGCTCCCCACCCGGCGCTGGAGAAAGGTAAGTTTTAACCCCTTTTCTCGCCATCCAGCCCGGTGGGAGGGGGTCCGTGAGGGTGGGGGCACCCTCAGGGCACTATAGTGCCAGGAAAACGAGTATGTTTTCCTGGCACTATAGTGGTCCTTTAAACCTGGTTTGTCTATGCATGCTGTGATACCCTGGTCTTGGGAACAACTGCACAAATTCACAACCAGCTGACCTCTGTCCAGATGTATGTGAACAAAGAAATAGTTAAATTATATAGCCAACACTTAAATTTTTTTTATTTAAAAACCCCATCATAAATGAAAAGGTATATTATTATTTCCTAAAGCTGGCATAATATCCATTATGATGAATGCAATAAACATTTTCTATTGACAGTCAATGTATTGTGTGTATTATAAAGCATATATACATACTGCCAGTGCCTTCATGGGAAGCCCTGGGCCTCTCCATAGTAAAGGCAGCACCCACAGTATAGCTGGACACACTGTGACACACTATGGCAGTGCTCACATGGCACACTATCTGGGTTTACATGGAATACAATCATACACATAAACCCAGTCACAGCCCCGCACTGGGTAACGCTGTCGGTCAGCTCACCTTGTAGTTAGCCATCCTCTCTCCTCGCTCTACCAGCTGCTTCTGGTTTGTTACCCAACTGTCTCCTCAGTAACTAATGAGCCGACAAGCAGCTGCGCATGCGCAATGCCCGCTAGACTATGAGGCTCGGCGGCACCTCAGCCTATCGTAAGGATGCGCCCGGGGAGGTCGGCCGTAAAGCGCGTGCGCAGTTCGTTGACACGCGTCGTATCGCCCGCTGGGAGGGCGTAGTGCGCACGCGCAGTGGACATGTTTGCGTTCTCGCGTACGTTCTCCATGGTAACCTAACACTCTATAGGGCAATAACAGTATCGACCTCAGCCCTCCAGGCGGTTTTTGCTGAAATTAGGAACCCGGTAATTTATTATTAGGGCGTATTTTTTTTTTTCCTAGTCAGCCATTGTCAATCATTCTTACACAATGTCTGTACGTACACTGTTACAACTTCTCGTGTTCTGAGCAAAATAAAACCTGGAATTTGAGCTATATGGCTGTTACATAGTATTTAACCAATTTCATAATTGCAAATTAAATTCTCTGGCCTTTCTGCCTGGGTTGTCAGGCAGGTCTCAGTATATAATTATTCCATTTACATAATTATGTAAAAATAATACATATAATTGAAAATGTAATTATACCATAATTTTCTGGCAATGGGTTAGCTCTGCCCCTTACAACCGATAGGACAGGAAAACACAAGAGGAGGACCTAGTCCTAAAATCTCCAGTCAGTAACAAGCTCCTTAGTAGACATAAGAAAGGCGAATTAATGGGTGGGCATTATATGCTACCAGGAATAAAAGCCAGGATAAGACAATTACGCTAAGTATGAATACATTTTCCACTTTCCTGGCTAATCACAAAAGCATATACCTAATGTGAATACCCAAGCTTTAAAGGGAGGGACATAGAGACGTAAATAGCTGCAAAATAAGTTTATGAAAACAAATTCAACAAAGACTTATCTGAATGAAGAACTTAACATCCAAATTGTGTCTCATTGTTGGCTTTAACGTCCAACTTGTAATGTTTTAAAAAAAATTATTCAATGAAGTCCAGGTGCCAGCCTTACAAATACTGTCAGGAGAGGCATTTGCCACAGAAGCCCAACATGTTGAAACTTTACAAGTAGAATGTGCCCTGATACCCTTAGGAAATGGCAGGGATTGACACTGATAGACCTTTGAGGTTGCTGCTACCACTCATTGTAGTAGAGGTTGAGGCCACTTCACCTCTTCTGTGGCCAAATGGCAATACAAAAAGCCTAGATGAAATGTCCTCTTGTTACCGGGAAACTGACGGAGGCCAAGCACAGAGAGATGGACACAGGTTTCTTCAGGAAGGAAGAGATCTTTATTCGATTCACCGACCGGGACTCAGAGGGACTTATGTCACCAAAAACAGCAAAGATCTGAGCACTGAATACATAGAGTAGATTCCTTATATAGCACTGTAGCTCCTCCCATAATTAGCTACGCCCACACATACCCTTAACCTAATCAATGAATAGAGTCTAAACTCATCCATCCGGTCTAACCACGTGGCTCATCTGAAACAAAGGAGAGGGACGCGTAATTCCAGTTCCTGCATTCCTGCACATGCTCAGTACAGTGATGACAGTATCTTAGCTACGTGTAACTAACTAACTGATACTACAAACACATGTACCTACATATGCCTTGTGGCAATCTTGGCCTGCTAAACTTTTATTTTACTGGAATTCCATCACATTCCCCCCTTTGATGCTTCTGATTTAAAATAATTCCAGATGCATCACCAATCATAGTTTGCTTACACCTCAAGTTGCCATAAACCAGACTAGACTTTGCGATCCTCTAAAGATACGAACCCCTCAACATTCCTCTTCCTGCATGTATTCTCCTTGATCTAGAGCTTCATACCTGCAAACAGCCATTACCTGTGCTGCGGCCTTTCTTTCTGCTATACTTTCTATAATGCTCTGCATAGACCTAATTACCAAAGGAATCAGACATGGCAGAAGGAGACACAACATCAAAAATCAGAATGACTCCACCTACCAATGCCTTGATTCCTCCAAACTGCTCATACCAACTACCAAACCAACTACTCGGATTATACCCTTTCCATACCTGAGTAGGTACATGTGCTAGCTTAACCATATGGCTAGTAAGCTCAGCTATTGCTTGCCCTTCATCATCTATTTGAAGACAACAATTGCTTAGATTAAACTTCCCACATACACCTCCTGCCAATAGGTATTCCAAAGATAATCTATTCTGGTAGATGGCTGTCCTCATCCTAGTGTTATGCTTCGCTAGGAGATTGAGCGCTTGTGATGTTTCATTGGTAACTATCTCAACTACTGCTTGCAATCTTATAATACGATTAAGCATATATATTGGGGTTCTGTATCCATAAGTACCATCCTCTGCCCACGTAGCTGGCCCATAATAATCTATAATATGCTGGGGAGGCCACTCATCATCTTCCCAGGTACCTATCTCTAGGGGTGCCCTTTTCTTCCTATGATTTGCTGAAAGTCTCTCCTGTTTCAATTGGCAACAAGAAGAAGGATGGTTTGAGCATACCTAATACACATGCCCCTTCCCAGTCCTGTGGTAACTCCGAATATGCTTTCTTACCCCAAATCCAGTACAAATTTGCTGCGGCTTTCCAACTAGATGTAGCAGATAGGTCAAACCATACATCCTTTAAATTGGTATAATTTGCAAATGGATTAGACGGTTCTGAGACATTTGAAGCTGACCATCAAATAGTATCCTTTGTATCGTCATTATAGGCTTTCTGCCCTAAACAAGTCAATTCTCCTACAGATGTATTAAACATTATTCCTTTCCTTGCTATACAAACATAACCTATAATGGAGGTCTTTAATCGCCACTCAGATTTACCTCTAACACTCACTTGATAATCAGATTGAGAAGATATTAGTTGTTCAACTGTCTCAGAACCAGAATACATTACCTCCTTTGCTTCCCAAGGCCATTGGTCTCCCATATTAGTACCTCCACACACATAGCAGTTGGTTACATTAAGACTACCAGCAATGCTCTCAGCTAGGTCTATGAATAAGTTTTTGGCATTATGGGGAACCTTATCTTCCACACTCATCTCCTCATAAAAAGAATGGAAAACCTGATGAGTCTGGGGGGCCACTGTATCTGTCTATATTCCTATGTATAATATCATCCCAGGATCCAAACCTGTTCCATATATTTGGAACCCAAATAGATTCCCAAACTTATCTATAAATAGCTCTGGGTACTTGATAAGTATATGGACTGGGTTACACTCCATAGACTTACAATATGGCTTGGTAGGCAATCTAGTGATAATCATATCCTTATCTACTGTCTGTCCCCAGGTTGCCCATCCCACACAGGACCAATATGGACAATAATTGTAGTCTTTATTTAGGCAGTTTGGATCTATATACTTATGCTTATTACTAGGACAAATATACTTATCATTAGACCCATACGTTCTTTCCCATTTAAGACCACCACATACATTCCATGGCTTCCTACTACCTGATATCGCCTTACATGCATCAAATAGCAAAACACCTGGAGAATGTACGCTTTCTAGTACAGTCTTATTTATCAGGTTCCCCTGTGCGTTCTCATTCCGAATAGTCAACCAAATTGTACGGGGCTGATACTCAGGATTAAAACACCTAGGTTCTCCTGCTCCTATATGGCATACACTATAATCTGTACCTAGGTATCTACACTTTGATACATGTCCTGTGCACTCATATTGTGAATGCCAAATAAGGGTCTGGGAAATACGATTGCCTGTTTTCGTAGTCTTAATGCAAACCTCGCAGCCTGGTGTGTCGGTACCTCTACCTTCCTGAATAATTAAAAACACACATATATACATCATCAAACACCTTACTCCTGACATCTTCTTCCTAATTCTTCGACCGTGCGACGGCACCTCAGCTTCCAGGCGTGTGAGGGCTGCAGGGAATGGAGTCCTTCTGATCCTCACTGTTCTTCACAGAGGATTCCTCTGGCTAAAACGTTGGTAGGTGGTCAGGCTTTATTGTGGCCGTCAAAACACCTACTTGTAGATCTTTGTTGATGTTCCCTTGTAACAATACTCTTCGCAAAAAACACTTTTAATCTAACTGGGTCACTCGCTTCAACCGGATCTTGCAGGGATTCTCAGGATCTTGAGTAGCTTGCCAAGAATCTGCTGCTGGTTTAACCCTGGAGTGATGAATCCACGGAGTCACCTCTGCCACCTTTATAGCTGTTGGAGTAGACAAAAGAACAGCATAAGGACCCCTCCACTTTGGCCCCAACGGTACACTGTTCCACTCCTTTATCCAAACTTGGTCTCCTGGATGGTAAGAATGGACAGGTGGATAAATATTTACAGGTAACCTATCTTGTACCCATTTCTGTACCTCCTCCATAGTTTTACCCAACTCTACAACCTGCTGCCGAGTAATTCCTTCTTTCACATAGCTACTACCATCCGTATAATACTGTACATCCGGGTCCTGAATGGGAAAGTCATGAAGGTCCGGTTGGCTTGAAAAACACCCCATCCATTATCTCCAAACAATCATGTTTACTTTCATTACGTTGTGGCAAAAGGGTAGCTGGATTCAGGGTATTAACAGTTTCACATAGCATGGCTTGATATTTAGTCATTCGGCTATTGCTAAACCAATGATTACCTTTATAGTCTAGCAACGTCTGTACTGCGTGCAGGACTCGCACATAGAGTTCCTGACCCAGAGTGAGCTTGTCAGCTTCTGCTACCAACAGGGCGGCGGCAGCTACGGCCCTTAGACAAGGAGGAAGACCACTGGCTACTGCATCCAGTTGTTTGGACATATACGCAACAGGTCGTTGCCATGATCCCAGATACTGTGTCAGTACTCCCACAGCCATCCTTCTTTGCTCGTGTACATATAAGTAGAATGGACGTGTATGATCAGGTAGATCTAATGCGGGGGCGCTCATCAATCCTTCTTAACATCCTCAAATGCCTTCTGCTGTTCGATGGTCCACAGGAAGGAATCATGTTCCGTGCCTTTAATAGCGACATAGAGGGGTTTCGCCAGTATCGCATAACTGGGAATAACTGGGAATCCATATCCTACAGAAGCCTGCTGCCAAGAATTCTCGCACTTGTCTTCTGTTCTTAGGTGTT